GACGGGCCCCAGGCCCCGGCGGCGGCGGCGGCGACGCGGTGGCGGGCCGCGGGCGGGCGGAGTGAGGAGCAGCGGCGGAGCGCGGGGCCGCCGGGAAGCCAGGGCGCCGGGACGCCCCCTGCCCAGTCCTCGCAGGCCGCCAGGCCCCCTCCAGCCGGGGCCGTGGAGCACCGGGGCAAAGGCCGGGGCCCCCCCATGAAGGAGCGCGACCCGGCCCCGGCCGAGCGGGGCAAGCCGGCCACCTACACCGGGGACAAGAAGGCGAAGATGGCGGCCAAGACCAACAAGAAGTGGGTCCGGCTGGCCACGGTGTTCGCCTACGTGCTCTCCGTGTCGCTGGCCGCCATCGTGCTGGCCGTCTACTACAGCCTCATCTGGCAGCCGGTGGGCGCCGGGACCTCGGGGGGAGCCGCCGGCCCGCCCCCCGGCGGCTCCAACGCCACCGGCCCGTCGGGGACTTCGGGGGCGGCGGCGGGGCCCAACGCCACCGGGCCGTCCCGCCGCGAGGCGCCTCGCGACGCGCCCCCGCTGCAGGCGGTGGGGCCGGCTGCCCCGGAGCCCGCCGCGGACGGCCCCCTGGCCGGGCCGCTGGAGCGCCCGAGGGGGCTGGACGAGGACGAAGAGGAGGAGGCCGCTGCGCCCCGGAGCCGTTGAACCTCTCCGCGCCGGGGGCGGTCGGGAATCGCCGTCGTCCCCCAGCCCCCCGGAGCCCACGGGCAGGACTTTGCAGCAGGACCGTCTGTCTATCCCCCCCACCCCGGAGCCCGCCGGAGCGACCCCCCTCCCTACGCGAGCGAACGCCCCCACACACACACCTCGGCGATCGCCGGCTCGCCCCGGGAGCGGGTGAAGGCACAACCGGATCTTCAGCCAAGGGACCGCGATCCGCCGGGGACTCGGGGTTTGATCTTTCCAGCGCCGTGGCTGCGCCAGGGCCCTGAGCCATGAGGGGAATTGGGGGGGAGGGGGGAGAGTCGAACACCCAGCCCGTTTGCGCCGCTACTCTGGTGTGTATCCTAAACGCAGGGGGTGACTCGGGCGCCCCCTCCCCAAGACTCAGGGGAAGGTAGGGAGTTGTGTAGGGGCTCTTTTCTTCTTTTTTTTTTTTAATATGCCGAGGCTCTCCAAAAAGAAGAGAGCACCAAAAGTAGCGGAGCTCAGGTACGTCAACCCAGTTGCAGTGGCCAGACATGCGTTTAATTTATAGTTCCCTGTATATAGTTGTTGACATATGCACTCGAAGCTATAACCACATAGAACTCTCTGTATTTCCCCACACCCTGGGTAACTACTGAATGGTGGGGTCCAGCAAGGGCTATTTGCTGGCCTTCAAACTGCACTTAGTCAGAAGGGCACAAACACAGCTTTTTCTTTTTTCTTTTCCATCACCCACTCTTTCACCTGTTCTCTTCCGGATTCAGAAAGATAAGTTTCTGACGTTCTTACACAAGGGTCTAATCGTTCTTAAGGCTGCTGACATGGCAGTGGAAAAACCTTAGCAGGAGAATCAGTTCAGGGAGGGTGGGGATGTGCTGATCTCCCTCCAGTTCCCATCCCCGTGCTCCCACCAAAGTGGCTTCCTGTTGTAGCCCTGAGCGTCTGGATTCGTGCCAGGGGCAGTGGAGGGAAGGAGTAAGGCTGCTGGGTTTGGATGAGTCCCTTTGCCCGACAGAATTCCTTTAGGAAGAGCAAGCCTTTTTAAGCACAGTGATTGGCAAGTGTTTTCTCTCATTCCTTTTCTGTCTCTTCAATTTTCTTATCGGTTCCAGATTTTTGTCTTACTTAATTTCTTGCCCTTCTAGATCTTGTCTTACTCATTTTTTTGCATTTCCTATTTTCTGAGCCTGAAACAACACAGCAGCTTGCCGTTAGGACAAAATCACTGGCAAACCCAGAGCTCTGATTCGGTTCTGAGTTACTTTATAGGGTCAGAAAGAGCAGAGGGTTGGGATTCAAGGTCAGAAGTGTGCTTAGATAGCCAGGGAAGAGACCAGCCATGGGAAGATTGAATTGGCAGCTTGTCTTTCTCATTCCGGATATGCTGCTCCCGCTTAAATGCGGCCAACAGTTTTCTAGAGGTGGTGACAAATGTCAAGGGACGGATGGACACACACACACACACACACACACACACACGTATATGCATAGCTCTGGGGCAGCAAGAATTATACTCCTTCAATTTGGATTCCATTTCCTCCTGCCACTTGCTTTTAGGCAATTGAGTGCGGGTAGTGACAGAGATCAAACCCCTTAGTGTTTCCTTTTTGGGAAATGAGCTACTTTTGAAAAACAAAACAGGAACCTTGCCCACCTTACTCCTGAAACTGTCTATCCCATTTTCTGGCCTACCTTGTAGTTAGTTTTGATTCAGGTTTACAGGACAACAGTCTTGATATAAGCCATGTCCTGTCCTGGGCAAGAAAATAGCAACCAAGCTGGGAGCCTCCCAGCAGGCTGCTAACACCCCAAGGTGTCTGGGCTTGGAGATTTCTTCACAGCTGATGAGGACTTCAGTCATTAGGAGGCCCATGGGGACTTTTTAAATTTTTGATGAGAGACTGGGGGGAGGGGAAGAAACACAAAATGCCACTTTATAACTTCAATAATAGCCTGTAATTTATATTTATGGTGTGAATTTTTAGTCCTATATTTTAATAACTTGTAAATTGATCTCTTATTCCAAGAATTCCCTGGACTCGTGGTAGAGTGTCTGCGAGTCCATTCCTCTTCCCCGCCTGATCCTGCTTTATGGACTGTAAATCCACTTTGGGATGAATCAAAGAGTCCAGCAAGACCCCTCATGGTCAGCTGGCCTCCTGACTCTCTAAAGCCTTCACTGGAATTGGGACATTTTCTCCAGCCCTAGCTGTGAACATGACCAGAGACATTATTTATAATTCAGCCATTCAAGATATACCTGTACTTTAAAAGTCCTGTATATTTTTTAAAAGTTTTATTTTTCAGGTGAACAAAAATACATTCTAAGAACTCTGCCTACGCCTGTGTAAGATGATCATTTCTCTTACTTCATGGAGAAGGACTCAAGGTGGTCTCAGATGCAGTGGATGGGTGGTGATGGATAGGTTTAGAAGGAAAAGGCAATAGCCTGGCTGTTCACAGTGCCTGCAATTGAACAGATTAGAGAAGGGCAGCAGGATCCATCTTAGTCAGGAAGGCGTCATGGGGTCGGAAAATGATGCCAACCTAAAAAAGCTGGAGGGTGAAAAAAGTTTTACTCGTGGGACTCTTAAGCAGATACCTGGCTAGAGGACTAATAAGTGTGAATATTAAGTTTCAATCACAGACGTGTAGCTGTCTGAGGTGAAGATACAGTTGCCTGCTGGCATCACATTCTCACCTGAAGCTGTTGGCCTTTTGCTAACTCAGGAAGTGCTAACACTGGAAAAGACAAACCCATGCATCTGGATTGCCTGAATCTGTATTGCCTGATCAGAACCTGCCTCGCCTCCCCTGGAGTCAAGCTGCTGGGAGGTGCAGGGTGCTTCAAAGGTAACGGTTTTTTCCTCCCCTTACAGAAGGAAAAAAAAAAAAAAAGACATGTGGGTGAAAAGCATAACTGTAAGGGATTAGTTATGCTGCAGAAATACATGGTAGGAAATTGGGCTCGGCTCATTAGCAGACAATGGTGCCCGGTACAAATGTGGAGTGAGAAGGCAGTGTTGGTGGAGCCCCCTGTGGCCTGCCCTTCTCCAGAGCAGTTAGGGGGTAGCCGCTGTGCTTTTCCCGCACCTCGTGGTCCGCAGGGAGGCCAGGAAAAAGTCCCGCCCTTCCTTTCTTCCCCTCTTCAGCCTACACAAGGGCTTTGTGTGAGAGGGCCTGGGGAGGCAGAGCAGGAGACAGTTTAGTGGCTCTTTGCCTCCGCCCCTCCTTTCTGCAGATGGGGACATGTGGCTTCTGCAGCTGCACACAGCTTACCACATTGGCCAAAGACAGCAGTAGGTACACGGAGGGCCTGATGGGATGGGAACAGGCATCAGAACAGCTTTCTTTGCAAATGTTGGGAAGGAGCAAAAACGTCCATGTTTTTAAGCCTGGAAGGTCTGTGCAAAGGGAGGTAGCTATTTTCTGTCTACCCGCTTTGCAATGGGACAATCCCTGGGTGTTTGCTCATATTGAGAGTTAGCATCATTCATTCCCTGACAGCCTGAATTCAACGGAAAAAAAGAATGAAGTTTTGAACGTACAGGGTCAGGGAGCCTTCTGGATAAGCCTGTATCTTTCTCTTTCCTCCATGGATGTTCAGGCACAAAGAAGAGTTCCTCTGAAGATTTAAGCAGAATCCTTTCCCCACTAACAGCTGTATATTTCTGCATGGTATGTGGTGCCACGGTCTGGGGAGCTTTTCTGTCTACCTTGCTTTTCACTGGGGAATTCTAAGCTGGTATGTTCTGCAGTTGAGTATTTATATCCTGTTTTGAAATGCTCAAGGCGGAACATCTACTTGTTCCTACAGGCTGCTCTAAGGAGCACCGAAAGGTTGGTGGCTTTAGGGCCACTGCAGTCATTTCAAAGGGTAGTAACCGTCCTCCCTTTCCTGTCTGCAGAAAATGGAGGTATTTCTGCAATTGCAAGTCAGTAACAAAAGGGCCACAGCTGTACTGCTTAATTGGCCTTCCTCAGGGGAGGAAAGGAGTGCAGAAGCTTTGTTCGCGACCAGTGCCAGCTCAGTGCCTGCCACAGAGCACCGGGTTCCTCAGAGTTGATTGATCACCTGGGTGGCCACCATGCTGGATGTAATTGGCTTGTCATCATGGTGTCCCAGTCACGGTCCACTCCTAGAACCTGTCTGGAACACAGGCCACAATCCCATTCAAACTATAGCTGCGCTGACATGGCTAAACAGGTTCTTCCTCCCATGTTGACAGGCCTGGGTTTGGTCCTCTACTAGTTTTATCCAGGAACCAGAAGTCCATGCCTGTCATCCATGTGGGTGCAGCATAGGCTATTCGACCCATTTATTGTCCTCTCTGTCCCAGCCCTAATGGAGAGCAACAAAAATAGCTGCACTATTGACGATGTTTTGGCCACATCTGTTTCCCTCACAAACGCTGTCTGCTGCAGAGAGCCTGTGTTACGACTTTTGTTCCCTCCAATAGCTCATCAAAAAATAAACAAACAAAGCCTGTCTCTGTCACACACCCAGACTCTGTGAGGATGCCTGAAGACACAGCAAGCCCGGCCCCCAGTGGTCGCTCTCACACCTGAGTCCCTGGTCAGTCATAGGCACCCTCACGAGCCAGCTCTTGTGGTCCTATTTGGTTCTGGAAGCATTGGTTAGGGTACAAGATGGGGACCAGAAAATCACCACACACTTCTTGCCCATGGCTGTCATGCTCTATCGCCTCAACAGCCCCATTTTCCTAATTTCAGCCATTAGTTTTTAATGCCAGTAGCAAGATTCCATTTAATATCATCAGGAATATTTTCCACAAACCATTACCATCAATCTGGTATTTACTGAGCCAAGTGAACTTCAAAACTCTCAAAACGGACTTTTCAAAAAAATTTTTTTAAAAAAGCAACTGTGTTCATCAGAAGTGGTTTCATAGTCACTGGATAAGATCTTTTCCTACTTGTGTCCTAGGGGGTCGCCTGTCCCCTTAGGTGCCTGCTGGGCAGTGTCGACGCAGGACTGCGGGGACAGTTCAGCAGTTAAGAGCACTTGTTGCTCTTCCAGAGGACCCAGGCTAGACCCACATGGTGACTTAACAGTAGGGGATGCTCCACGCTCTTATGGCCTCTGCAAGCACCAGACATGATGTGGTGCACAGACATAACACAGACAAAACAGCCATGCCCATACAGAATAAATTATATATTTAAAAAGTTACAGGAGCCCATCTCTGAGCTGTAGTCAGCTCATGGCATGACCAGGACCTAGGTGTGAGGGCAGCGTGTTCTCAGAAGGGATCCCTGAACAGATGGTAAGAAACCAGTAGCATTGGTAAAGGCCTCGGCCTCCTGTTCTGTCAACCAAGTGGCATGCCATGAAATCTAGTGGAGGTAATGGATGTGAAAGAACTTTAAGACCTTGGGAACAGAAGGACTGTGCATGCACATGAAGTAATGTATTTCCAAGGGAATACCCATCCCTTTGGCGGGGGTGGGAATGATAAATGGAAAGTAATTCGAAGGGAAGGCCAGTAAACACGACACTCACCTCCCAGAGAGACAGCATCAGCCTCACCTGGGAAATTGGTAGAAGTGCGACACAGGGCCACAGCCCAGACCAATTGAGCGGCTGTCTCAGAGGTGAAGGCAGGCCTGTTTAAAACCAGCTTTCCCTCCGGGCACTGATTGCATACACCTTTAATCCCAGCACTCAGAAGGCAGAGCCAGGCGAATCTCTGGGTCAGCCTGTTCCACATAATGATTAGTTCCAGGATGGCCAGGGTCACACAGAGAAACCCTGTCTCAAAGGAACAACAGACAGACAGACAAACAAACAAACAACCAAAAAACCAGCTTTCCAGGTGATTCCAATGTGTGCTGAAGTTGGAGAGCCAGCCTTCCCCTCTGATTCTGTAGCTTAGGAATCTTTCTGTTTTGCTAGCTGACTATCAATGTGGCTTTCGGCCCTTTTGCTTCAGTGGAACTAGTTGCCCTGTGCAGGAGAGAGGAAGCACTGTGTCTCCAGAGTTTGTAGGAAAAAGGAAAAAAAGCCTACACTGTCCATTATTTTTGACAGTTTGCCCTGGAGAGCTTGTTAAGATGGAGGTAGTAGACATGAGAGCCTCCTCCCTCCGCTGCGAAGGTGCTGATGTATTTGCCTCACCTCCTGCCCCGGGGCCTGCTGCTTCCCCAGCCAGTCCTTAAAAGGAGCGGTGGGTGCCACACTGTTCTTTCTGGTGCCAGGTCTGTGTTATTTCACCTTCCTGGCGTCAAGTGGATGCTTAATGAGAGCCGTGACGTAGGCGAAACAGACTTGAGAGAAAGCAGCCACAGTCTGGGCCTTCTGCTGGCTCTCCTCTTTGCCTTTCCCAGCCCCAAATTTTGCCTCTGAGGAAGCCATGTCACCTGATCTGTCTCTCCTCTGGTAGCCCAGATAACCCCAGCTCGGAAGGAGATGCTGGTGGAGTCTGTGGACACTGATAAATGACACTAGACGGTGTGACGTGGTGGTGCTTTTGTTTATCTCTAGTCTCTTGTCAATCCCCACCCAGGTTTATCCCCCACCCCCAGAAAAGACGGTCATATGGGGAAAAAAATTGCCATTTATTGGTGTTTTTAAGGACCAGTGTCATCTTTTCCTGTAAGTCTTGTCCCTGACAGCAGGATCAGGTCTGGAGTTTAACTGGTGGTCAGGCTTTCCAAACTTGTACCTTGTTTTAAATAGCTGAGGCTGGCCATAAGAAAATCAGTCATTTGCTCATTTGGGTGACAGAACTTAATTCTGGGAGACACAGAGGAAGCTCCCTGGTGGGGGGTGGGAGGAATGGAGGTGGCTTCTGGAGGAAAACAATGAAATGAAAACTATGCTGTGAATTCGTGAGATTGTTTTCGTTTTAAACAGGAGAAAAGAAGAGCCATTCTAGCTAGAGTCAGCTGTGGAGTTGAGAGAGAAATGACGGACAGAACAGACAGGATGTACTCCCCATGGGAGTAAGGGCACCTCACTAGACACCCTTCCTTCAGGGAAGTAAAAGAAGGGCTTGAGCCGCCGCTCCTTTCCCTGAGAGAGTACTGATCCCCAGCAAAAGGGAAGTTTAAAAAAGAAAAAAAAGACAGAACTTAAGCAGGCATAGACCTCGTGTCAAACCTCCACCTCATTTATTCAACATACTTTCTGTGTGCTGGGCTACTGTTCCCAGAGTGTCTACTGAGCGTAGGCATACTTTGCACTCTAGCTTTCTCTTTCTCGGCAACCCTTCAAGGTCAGTACTGCAAGCCCCCTTTTGCAGGCAAAGGAGACTGAGGCTTTTAGAGGTTAAAGTTGGTGTGTTCTCTACAGTGGCGCACGGGATCAAAACACGGAGT